ATAAAATCAATTTTAAACAACAAGAGTAATATAATCCTATATATATGTGTGTGTGTGTGTGTGTCCGTTCGTTATAAATTCTAAAAATATATCATATATATTTCATCACCGTTAATCCGTGTGGAAAAAAATAATTATTGAATTTCTATAATTTTTGTACCTAATAAAAAAATTTTAAAAAGTGATAAAAAAACAAAAGAAAAAAATTAAAAAGCATTTTAATACATATATCAAATAAAAAATTCATTTTTTTAAGGTTTCGATCAACTTTTTTTTCAATTATTTTATAACTTAAAACCACCATAAACATATTCTCTTTACCAAAATAAATAACATGAATGTAAGATGAGCCATAAAAGAGGCCAAAATTGGAGCCGATCGTGGCTTTCTCTCTTATTTCTATGCATTTAGGGATCAAATTATGACATAAATAAAGTTGAAGATCAAAATAAATTTAAAAAAAAATTAGAGACCAAAGTACAATATCGAAAAAACCGAATATAAATGTTTCGATACAACTTAAAAATTACGAAAATACACTATATAGTGCAAATGAATCTAAGTAAACCATAAATGAATAATATTACGTGAGTATATGAATGATATAGTTAATAGTAAATAATCCAAATGTTTTAGTGTTTTTTTTGTAATTTTAATACCCCCACAATGCATGGATTTGATTTTGATGGTTCATTTAGTTTTTTAAAATAATATTGTCAAAACATTGTGCTAGTTGATATTATTTTGTATTATCCTTGTTTTAATTAAACATGAATAGTATCAATTCTAATGTACTTGAAATTAAAATACTTCATTCAGATCTTGTTTCATCTAATACCAAATTCTAATATTTGTCAAAAAAAGGTATTACAAATTCTTGTTAGCTCAAGACAAATTTGATATTGCATGTATCCAATAGAGACACACCTATTTACCGATTAGTATTTGTTTGTTATTTATTGATTAAAATAAATTTAAAAAATAAATAAACAGAAACAAAATAATTTTAAACTATGTATATATCATATGTTTTATGCTTTGAAAGCGTATTCGATTTGAATTCTTAATTGTTGTTGATTCTTTAAAGAAATATTATATGATTTCATTTTTTTATTATTAAAGAGATTGATTGAAAAATAAAAACAACCTAGATGACATATTATTTAGCTACCGTACTATTTATAATTTTAAAAATAATTTAAGGAAATTTGATGACAATTGATTTAAAATTAAACATGAATAGTATCAATTCTAATGTACTTGAAATTAAAATACTTCATTCAAATCTTGTTTCATCTAATACCAAATTCTAATATTTGTCAAAAAAGGGTATTACAAATTCTTGTTAGCTCAAGACAAATTTGATATTGCATGTATCCAATAGAGACACGCCTATTTACCGATTAGTATTTGTTTGTTATTTATTGATTAAAATAAATTTAAAAAATAAATAAACGAAACAAAATAATTTTAAACTATGTAGATATCATATGTTTTATGCTTTGAAAGCGTATTCAATTTGAATTCTTAATTGTTGTTGATTCTTTAAAGAAATATTATATGATTTCATTTTTTTATTATTAAAAGGCTTGATTGAAAAATAAAAACAGCCTAGATGACATATTATTTAGCAATTGTACTATTTATAATTTTAAAAATAATTTAAGGAAATTTGATGACAATTGATTTAAAATTAAATAACCTTTTTCTTTTCTCTATCATCTCACGATGTTGATAAAAAGAATGCAACATACATGTTTTTTAAAAACTTAGACGAGACAAAAAAAAAAAAACATATTGTAATAAATTTTGAGTTAAAGTTGTTAGTTAAAAACTAATTCTTACATTTTCCGTATTGATAATTTACTAATGTTTCATAATTTTATTTTATTTATCCACATCGGGGTCAAGAGAAACCCATTTTATATTATCAAAATATTGATTAGTATTTAAGGGTCTTATAAGTATAGTTGATCCACATATCAAAACCATACAACTCACTAAGAACTCGCATTCGTTTTACCATTGTATTTAGATGAGGTGTGAAAATCAATAAATAGTAATATCAATTAACATTATAGAACCAACTCGAGATGCATTAGTATGTCCCGATCAATAAATAAGTTGATAACAACATGCAAGGCAATGTGTTTGACTTTCATAACAATTTATATGCTTACATGAAAATTGACAATTTAACAAATCGTCTTACCAATAACTTGCCACATCAATATATATTTGGACACAATAAACAACATGGTTATTTATTGATTGCTATATCAATAAAACTATCAATGTGGACCAACTAACATGTCTTCATGTTGATATTGTAGTTTCGTTTTTTATGTGTGTAGATAAGTGTTTTATTAGAAAATTTTTATATTGTTCTTAATTTTATTTAGTACATTTCTTATTTGGGTTACATTTGACATAATAATTTTAAAAATATGACTTAGCTAGCATGGAAGGATAACAAATCGTCTTAAAAGAAGAATAAGAGCTCGGCGCACGATCCGCCTAATCTTTCTTCCAAGTTCCAATCTCTTAATCGATCGGTTTCCTTATGTGCAAATCTATTATACTAAAAGCGACACTATTAACAGATTGTTGTAGTTATAATAATGGTTAAAATGATTTGAGATCTTCTGCTACCAACTAACGAGCAATGACGAGTGAACCATAAAACTATTTGGTTTAAACTAAAAAATCAAACTAGAATAAATAATTTGGTTTGATTTTTTTTTCAAGACCAAACCAAATCTAATTTTTTTTAATCTCGCTCCATTTCCCTTAAAAACCAAATAACATATGCATATGTGTGTGTGTGTGTGTGTGTGCACACGTGTGTATTAGAAGTACATTTATATATGTGTTAGGGTATCTATATACAACCTAACATTACCAAACCATAAAACTACCACCCTATTAGTTCAACCTTTTATTTACTTCTTCGTTCTTTTTTTTTATTGCTAAATAAATTTTATGTTAAGGCTTATTATACTAAGAAAAAAACATGAATTTTATATTTTTTAATTATATTAGTAATGTTGGATATGAGATATATAAACTAAGTTTATGATAACTATATTAAAACACATAAATGTTTTTGGATAAAATTTTATTTTCGACTGATGTGGCGAAGAGATAGGGTGACAATAATACATAAATGCCGTGCAAGATCTCACATGGCTTAGTTGACAAATGTCCTTTCTAGTACAAGCTATATATCAATCAATTATATCTTTTTTCCGATTTGAAATACCAAAAATTCTCAAACACGAATCCAATTGAATTTCTAAAAATCCTTAAAGCTTCTAATTACAAAACTCAAGCCTAATCTTATTCAATCTCTCAACGAACTCGACCCCTCCCTCTCCTACAAAAGAGAAACATACATGATGTAACATATACAAGCATTTCGAAATCAATTATCAAAAGATTGAGTTTGGGTTTTGCAGCGGCCAAGGTGGGCAAAATTAGAGTGGTTAACTCTAAAATCCACGATGACATCTCTTGCGTTCCTTCATCGGTGGAGTAGTCAATGTATAATGCTTCATGTCCTGTTTTGACGATTATATCATCTAAGGCGAATGGAGGTGAGGTTGCGGCGACGATGCAAAGGCCTACATAAGAGTTGAATGAGTGGGACTTTGTTAGTGGGGTGGAGGAGGAGATGGTTGTGGATTTGGCTAAGCTAAAGTTGTTTTTGGTAATGCACCACCAAGTTTGCAAAAGGCAAGGTAGCTACTTGTAAATTAAAAGATGCTTTGCAAAAGTAGAGTTTTGGTCTTTATTGAAAATTTAACATTTTATTTACCTATTTTTAATTTTACGTGATTATTTTTATTTTAATCCTCTTGAAAGGATTTATAACTACTAGGATTATTAAAATTCTTGCTAAGATTGGAAGCGTAGAGTTTTGACATTTTTTACTTTTGGTTTGTAGAAACTATGATTGATTATAATAGAAGAGATGAATTAAAAAGAGGGGTCGAGGCTCGAGGTAGAGGGAGGGATCGGGGTTCATCAAGGGATTGAAGAAAATTGGATTTGGGTTTTGCAATGAGATTTTTAGGAATTCAACTGGGTTTGAGTTTGGAGATTTTAGTGTTTCAAATCGGAAAGACAATAAAATTGATTGACATGTAATCCATATTAGGGAGGATATTTGTCAACTAAGCCATGTGAGATCTTATGTGGCATTTATGTCTTCGTCGCCACCTATCTCCCTTGTCATTTCAACCGAAAACATAATCCCGGCAAAAAATATTCAAACGTGCTAATATGGTTATTAAAAATTTAGTTTGCATATTTTTTTTTATCTAATATTGAAAGAAGGTGCTGATATGATTAAACAATATAAAATTCGTGTTTTTTTTTTATATGATAAAACTTATGTTAATTATGATTTGTGAATTATATTATTTGACTTGGGTATTTGACGCTATTTTGTAATTGATTGGAACTTTGGATGTCATTTCTTCTTCTTTTTTTTAAAAATAAATTGATGAAAAAAAAAAGATTGAAATGAGACTTTGGACATATCAAAGGCATGTAGAAGATGTAATTCATGATAAAATTGGTTGTAAGAAACCGAGAATCATATCATTTTTATATTAAAAATAACAATTCTTTAAAAAAAAACCGAATAAAAAACCAAAATTTTAGGTTAAAAAAATAGAAAACCAAATAATATTTCTATTTGGATTTGGTTTTGCTTTTTATGGATTTGATTAACCAAAAATCAAACCAAATATATCAAAAACCAAAATCGAATTAGTGAATATTCACCTCCATTGAACAAGCACCACAATACAAAAAAAGAAGAAAAAAAAAAGGTTTTAGAAACAAGGATGCAAGCATATGGAAGACGAAAGTAACTTTAAGTATTATTCTAATCCAACACCCTAACAAACAAACAAACACACACACACATAATACAAAAAAAAATAAAAAAAATAATAGAAACAAGTATGCAAGCACATGGAAGACGAAAATAAATGCAGGTATTATTCTAATCCAACAACCTAACAAACACATACACCATAGTTGAATATATATATATATATATATATATATATATATATATATTTTGGAGAAACAATTGAAATCATATCATTGATGAAAAATGTTAGAGACCTTTCCAAAACCAATTGGGATGGGCTGGTGGTTTAGAGAATTTTTTTCTTGATTTTTTAGATTCAAAATTCGAGCCCAATACTTACAGAATTTTGTTAACTATTTTTTAATATATCAAATAGACATAGAGGATGCATTTTTAATATCGTTTAAGAAGAAATTTAGTTTCGATCGATGTAAAAATTAATTCAAAAATATTCTTATCTTTAAATACATAAATAAAATTTCAAGTATCTAATAATAGTATTTTATCATTTAATAATTTTGAGTATATTTGATAAGCATGTGACATGTATTGAAAAACTTCAAAATAAAATAAACATATAGGATTAAATAGTGAAAAAAAAACCCAATACTTTTTAGTTGGCAGTTTAGTCGTAGTAAATTCTGTGTACTTACAAAAGATGACGTTAGTATTTAGATTTTAAAAAAACTTATTAAAAGAAGAAGTCTCCACAGCAAGTACAAAGGAAAGGTTCTAAATGGCACTGATCGGTTTTATTTATTTCTATTTGATGGCAAAGTATATTTTGAAGCAAATTTACTCGTTATATTAAGTTTTTTATTCAAAAAACTTATAACTATGTACTTTTTTAGAACTGAATATTTTTTCTTCATTAATGCTCCTACACTACATGTGAATAAATTATCTAAGATTCTACTGAAAATCTGGTCCAAACCTTTACGATTAACAAAAAAGGAAAAAAAAGGAAAAAAGAAAAAGAAAACCTTCCAAGTACGAGGTCGGTGAGATCAAGTGGCATGAAAGCTAGGCCGCATCAAGCATATGGTTAATTAAATCACTAAAACTTCAATTTAGAGCAATTGAATCTCAAGTGTCAACATATCAGATGGACAAAGCAAACACGTTCCCTTGACAGGGAAATGGGAAAGAGTAACGCTACGGAAAGCGGCTTCTTCTTCTTCTTCTTCTTATTTTATTTATCAAAGGCTTTGAAGATTAAAATGTTGAAATATGAAAAGACACATCCACACGCAACGTTCATTGTTCCCCGACCACGTAAGACATATAACTGAGTCAACTTTCTAACGGTGTCGAAACTTGAGAATTATGGTACATCCTCTTTTCATCACGAGAAAAATATGACTTGGTTTCCAAGATCAATTTTATCACAAGTAAAGGGGAAAAGAACCTAAAAAAAGCAGTCCGTCATTAATTAATGTTTTTCTATCCGAAGAACGACTATTAGTTTATCTCAGGTCTCGAATTAAGGATATGTTAATTTTTATTTTTTTCCAATTCCTGAACAAATTATTGATTGTTACATTGGTGAAAAGAATTCCAGTATCTTACGCTCTCCTCTTGTATTCAAAATCAAGAGAATGTAATTTTTTGTTTTGCAAACCCAAATAATAATGATAATAATATTTTAAAAATAAATCCATTAAAGGGCTGAATAAGCTTGCTAATTGGTCGGGAGCTGTAACTTAAATAAAGAAAAGTCTTCACCAACCAATTGGCGTTTTCTACCTTTTTCCGTCTCTCTCGAATTTTTCTCCAATCACGAAACAGAGCAACGCCAAACAAAGCCAACACTTTCTCTCCATTTAAATCTCTCTCCCTCTCTCTCTCTGCTTCAAATCTTAGTTAAAAATTCCTTCTTTATAATAATTTAATACATTCTTAACAAATCTCCATTTTTTTCGGACAAAACACTCTTTAACTTTTGCAATTATTAGTTTAATCGTAACTATTATAATCTTCTTCTTCTTCTTCTGCTCCATGGCATCTGTGATCAATACATTGCTTTCTCTGCCTCCTTCACTCAGTTTTAATATTACTAATAATAATCAGCCACCACCACCTTCCCTTTTTGTTTCTAAAACTCCCACATCAAAGCGTTGTCGTTTTTTCTTCTCCTCAGCGCGATCACCAAACCGTTCTTCTGTCACTGTAGCCTTGTCTACTGTAGCAAACTCTGTTCCGGTAAATAACAACTAACTAATTTACCCGCCTTTTCCTTTGTTTCCTCTTTTTAGTGATTTTATTTTTTATTTTTTTTCGTTTGTAGGCGAGAAGTGGGATTTATACAGTTGGTGATTTTATGACCAAAAAGGAGGATTTACATGTGGTTAAAGCTAACACAACCGTTGATGATGGTAATTACTAGTACCTTTTCTTTTAAGTTATAGTTTGATTTGCATATTGTTTACTTGTAAATTGGTATGGTTGATTGATTCATGTGTTTTTACGAATATATATTTGTTGCAGCATTGGAGGCTCTCGTGGAGAAAAGAATAACTGGGTTTCCTGTCGTTGATGATGACTGGAAATTGGTAAGATTTCCATTTTATCATGCGATCCCGTGTCATATAGCCTTCAATTTTGTTTAGCTGTTTACCGGTGTCTTGCTTATATGTTCTTGGAATTTTGTGGAGTCCAAAGTTCGCCTTTTTATAATGAGAAAAAAAGGGCAAAGATTCAAGGGATAACATGCACAAAATCCAATACTTGCCTACTTGGTCAGCTAAAAAACCTATATTTATTTGAGATTGTGTTGCATAAAGAACTGATTTCAAGTCATATTTGTTGCAGGTTGGTGTTGTTTCTGATTATGACCTGTTAGTGCTCGATTCTATTTCAGGTAGTCTAAGATCAGTGAAGCCAGTGTTGGATTCTTATGTCTTTTCTTTTTTAGGAGATTTTTATTACGTTTTTCCCTGGTTCTTTCAATTTTATAATGAAGTATGTATGCATGCGGCGATAATTTTCATTTGGACGGAATCTCCTTGTTGTCATTGTGTGTTCTATAATTTTTCTTTGATCTTCTCTTCCTTTTTCCTCAGTAGAGAATTATCAAGTTGATTGGGGAATGATAGCGAATTAGTTCATTATGGTTTTTTTTAAACCAAGTTGATCTGCATGTTAGATTTTCAACTATGTAAGATTTAATTCCTGTCATAGACATTTGCCAAATATATGACATGCTTTGAACTCTCAAAGAGTTTCATTGTAATGAAGAAACTTGGCTACAAGTGGCTACAAGTGCTTTCTCAAACCATGATGGATTGATGGCCATAACAATTTAACCAAGCATATAGCACTATTTTCTCCAACTTATTTATTTGCTAGATTTGCTTGCTTGTCCGGGTAAATAATATTGATTCCCTTTGGCACCATAAGTCAAATCTAGCATCAATTTGCTGGACTTTGAGATAGACTCGAAGTAAAATCGGATAAGTTAGGGTAATCAGTAGTGTTGGAATCTGGAAAAAATCATGGTCTCCAACAGAAATAAATTTTCCGCATCCATTGCTGCAACATTATGATGATTCTTGATCTTGTTTGTCAAACATTTCTTTTCAATCTTGAGGGCCTATAGCAGCAAGGATGCTGTATCAATTCAGTTTTCAATTGTATTTTGTTTGTTTTGTTGGATCTTGGTATCTTTAGCTTTGTTATCCATTATTGCTCTTCATTGACAAACTGGCACTATAATTTTGTAATGTTGGTTTTCTATTATGGTTCTTCCTGTAATGCGGCGAAACTGCTATTAACTTCTTCCTTTTGTGTCTACCAGGAAGATGTCAAAATGACACCAACTTGTTTCCTAACGTTGATAGTTCTTGGAAGGTGAATGTGAAGTTCCTCTTTGATATTCTAGATGTGCATATCGTATTTGTATTCGAGCATGCTCCCATCTCTTTGCATGTGGATTTTTTTTTTTTTGCTTACAGATTAGAAATTTTGACTGATTTCTATAGTTAGAGATGTAGAATCCTTTGTGTTTGTGAAATCCAGAGCTAACATCCTTCAATTCCCAATAAAATTTTAGACATGCTGTTATACTTGCCAACCGTAAATGCACGAACATAAATAATTGAACATGGTATTTTCTTTAGGTATGAAGATAGTGAGGATTAGGGGCCATCAGACTTCTGATATGTAGTATATTATACTTTTAAGATGAGCATCTGACCATGTTTAGCAAACAGATCATGACTGTTCCTTTGTCAGATTAAGAAGTTTTGGGAGGGGGGCCAAGTCCTTCCAAGGTTGAAGTTGCCCATACCCTAGCAATAAGTCGAAGGTTCTGAATGAAACTAGTGAATGGATTGGCTCTACAAGGCAATTCGACTTTTTAAGTCCTTGCCATCCCTCTTTTTCAAGTACGTGGCATACAATCAGGGGATGCTCAGTACTTACTCCGCAAGGGCTTGCTCACAACTAGTCATCAACTCCTACCAGAGGGGAGTAGAAGCCGAAACTCTGATCGAACATGACTGGTAGTTAAAAATGCAAAAGATGGTATATTGATAGTTTGATCAATAACTGTTACATTTATCACCATCCTACAACTCAATGGTTGGTCTGACATATAAGTTTTTCTTGGACAAAGGGAGATGCTGGTTGTTAGGTAGATTTAGTGATGGTGATTTCAAGTACTTAATAGAAACCGTACAACTTCTCGCCATTACTGGACAAAATCAGGCCTACAATAAAGCGCTTGATGTTAGAAGTTCAAGATAAACTAATATCAGGATTTCACTTCTATAACAATTTCAGATTTCTTTTTCTTACTGCTGAATTCTATTTCTTGATGAATGTTGCAGACTTTCAATGAGTTACAGAAACTGCTAACCAAGAACAACGGCAAAGTTGTTGGTGATTTGATGACACCTAATCCTCTAGTCGTTTATGAAACCACCAATCTAGAGGAAGCTGCTAGGTATCAACTTTTTCTACTCTAGTATATATCTTTTTATTCTTCAAGGACATTTCTGTTTAAACCTGGAAGCCAAGAAGTTCTGTTTTGTACTTTCTTAAATGTATGAAAATACTGTTGGGAAGATTATTATGCGTTTTCTCTTTGTCCAACTTTATTGAAAAACTTTTCTAAATGGTTACCATCAAATTTTGGGACTTTTCTCATCTTGCAATTAGATTCTGTGGAAATGTCTCATTAAGATTGAAAAACATGCTTAACGTCCTAAACTAATGCTAGGTTGCTGCTTCAAACAAAATATCGGAGACTCCCAGTGGTAGATGATGATGGACAGCTGGTAAGAATTGCACTCAGTATTCTTTATTCAATCTCATTTTATGAATTCTTATCTGCCGTGAGTAATTTATAATTGGTCTCCAATTTAAAACCGAAGGTTGGAATCATTACACGGGGAGACATTGTTAGAGCTGCTCTGCAGATAAGAAGTGCAACCGAAGTACTGATATGACTCCCTGTACCACGATGGATTCCGACCTCTGGACTCTATAAATTTCGCAGTTCTTCTTTTGTTCAACACGAAGGTTGTGCAGTTCATTCTTCCAGGTACATTCAGAGGGAAGCTATCGATCTCCTGCCTTTAGAGCCTTTTCTGTTGTATAAATTTTATTTCGAGCGAGTTTCAAAACTCAAGTTCTAGTTAAATGTTATATATATATATATATATATAGGTTTGGTAAAATATGAAACATGGTAGCTAGTGTTGGTGTGATTTTGCATTAGTCTCGTGCCAAGTTTTGTTCAATCAGTAGAATTCTTGTTGTGTTAGTAAGATTTCTTACCGCAACAACGGTTTATATGAAAGTGCCAATTATTTTGACTTTTTCCCATTATTTTAGAGTATTAGTTCTCAAGGAAAGAAATGATTTCTCGTTTGAGTATTGATTAAAGCATCTCCATTGCTGGAATCTAACAAACCCGGCATGGCACCCCACCGGCGTAAGATCCGTGCTCTTCAAATCAATGCCGAAGCTGGGTTTTCGTGCACAGGAGACCAGACACATTTGTATCGCATTTTTTATTGTTGTTTAACCCTTTCCAAGTGGAACTATGAAGGGAACCGCAATCGTATATCTCTTTCAAGAATGCGTCATGCATTGCCTGTCAAATGGAGAAAATAGCCATCAAGCTACGAGCATTGCCAACATTTAGGATTGACAATTCCTTTATCCATTTTTATATGTGATTGATTGAGATAAACTGCCCTAACGCAGGTGTTATGTTTTTCGGTAGAATATTAAAACAAAATATATGTTTTTAGTTTCAACCATAATTTAGTTCTTTCTTCCGTCAAGTGTTCTTTTTCTAGGTGTTAAGCTATCATTAATCTAGCTATTTTTCTCTCAAAAATACCCTCTTGACTATATGTTAATGAGCTGAAAAAACTTAAATAGCTACCGACGAACTAAGTTACGATACTGCTAAAAACACGAAGAATAAATTATTATTTACTCTTCAAAAAGGAATAGGGAGTGGATTCGGCGATAAAGAATGGAATGGTGGAAATGAGTTCTAACTTTTATACATGAATGCCTAGTTGAAAAAAATATAGTGAGAAGGGGAACGAAAGTTAATATAGTTTTATTCGTATGGAAAGAAAATAAGAAATGTGAATGAATTTTTTTTAAAAAATAATGATATATTATTGTTATTATTTTTTGCTATTAGTAATAAAAATTATTATTATTATTATTATTATATCGTCGCTTCTTTTCTACCATTTATCAGTGCTCTATTATTGCTACTGCAGCCATCACCACTACTTCCATTGACTGTGGTGTTAAGAAAAATTAAGAGAAAAAAATGATAATAATAACTATTTACTCTTCATTTTTCATCCACTACTATAACTATCATTTTTATTTTATTGTCACATTCTATGACGATGGTTCACTTTTTTTAAATATATTATTATTATTATCACTATCTTCACTTCATTCATCACCATCACTATTCGTATATTTACTTTTATTATTTTTATTATCATTATAGTTGATAAAATTATATTTTTATTTGTTTTAAGCATTAGATATTAAAATTTTTATATTTCATTCTAATTTTGTATTATTATTTTAAACATAATATGAAAATATAAAAATCATTTTAATTTTTTAATTTTCATTCTAATTTTTGTGTTTTTATTGTTGGTAGCAAAAAGACACCAAAAGGGTATATGAAGTTCGAGAATATAGAACAGCTACCCACCTTGGCCGAATATATTAAGTGCTCCGGTTCTTTCGAATTAGCTGACGCCCTCGCTGACGAATGTTCATGTGCAAATCTAGATTCTTGAGAGTGATGTTCATGTTATCATCAGTGTAAAAAAATGGATAAATCCTATGGACATTCCTTCCATTTTTTCTTATAAATGATTACTGCCTGTCTTCACTACACGTCCCATAATTTGGAACTCAAAAGTCCAAACCTCTCTTTCTCCCCTGCCAGCTATTTTTTTTTTTTGCCAAATCCATCCTCTCTGCAACAATGGATTCAAGTTCTCCTCCAGTTGAAATGTTCTTCTTTCCATTTGTCGGTGGAGGCCACCAAATCCCCATGATAGACATAGCCAGAGTCTTTGCTTCCCATGGTGCCAAAGCTACCATAATTACCACTCCAAAACATTCCCTCTCCTTTCAAAAATCCATCAACCGTGACCAGAAATCTTGTCTTCCAATCTCTATCCACGCCCTTGAGCTGTCTGATGATGTCGACGTAGCCGATACAGACATGTCTGCAACCTCCCTCACTGATACTTCTGTGCTCCAAGAACCTCTACAAAATCTTTTAGTCAAACGAAAACCTGACTGCATTGTTCATGATGTGTTTCATCGTTGGTCTGCAGATGCTATTGACAGTGTTGGCATTCCAAGAATTACTTTCAATGGGAATGGATGCTTCGCTTGTTGTGTCCGAGAAAATTTGGAACGCTGTAAGCCCCACGAGAAGATGACTTCTGATTTGGAGCCTTTTATTGTTCCAGGGCTTCCTGATAGGATTGAATTGACCACATCTCAACTACCATTCTTTGGAACACAACCAAACGTTGGAGGGTTGTATAAAAGAATGCTAGGATCAGATGGGAAGAGTTTCGGGGTTATGGTTAATAGTTTCTATGATTTGGAGACTGCTTATGTGGACTACTTCAGGAATGAGTTAGGCAACAGGGCATGGCTTGTGGGACCAGTTTCATCATGCAACAGAAATGTGGAAGATAAGGCCGAGAGAGGCCAAAAGACTTCAGTTGATGAGAAAACCATTTTGAGCTGGCTTGACAGTAAAGAACTCAGTTCGGTTCTTTACGTCAGTTTTGGGAGCTTAGTTCGTTTAGCCCCTGAACAAATCCTTGAGATAGCCCACGGTCTTGAGGCCTCCAATCACCCATTCATTTGGGTTATAGGGAAAATCTTTAAATCAGGTGGACAAAACGAAGAAAGCCAAGAAAATATCCTTCCCAATGGATTTGAAGATAGAATCAAAGAATCCAGAAGAGGACTAATAATAAAAGGCTGGGCACCGCAATTGTTAATATTAGAGCATCCGGCTATCGGAGGGTTTGTGACCCATTGCGGATGGAACTCAACTTTAGAAGGCATGAGTGCCGGGCTACCATTGGTAACATGGCCTATAACTGCAGAGCAATTCAGCAATGAGAAGTTGATCACTGATGTGTTGAAAATTGGGGTGAAAGTGGGGAGTATGCACTGGAGATCGCCAAGGACCGAGCCAAGCGTTACAGTGGGGAGAGAGAAAGTGGAGGCAGCAGTGAAGAGGTTGATGGGTGGTGGCGAGGAGGCGGCCGAGATGAGAAGAAGAGCTAAAGAACTTGGAGAGAAGGCAAAGAGAGCTGTTGAAGAAGGTGGATCCTCTTATAAGGATGCTGATGCTTTGATTCAGGAGCTTGAATCTCGCAGGAAATGTTGAGATTTTAGTTAGCTTGTTATTTTGATTCTGGTTTCCAGTGTAGTAGCTGGTCTGGGTTAATGTCAAATGATTTGTAACTGGTTGAGTTGACCTTATATTTTATTTTCAGAAATGGAAAATTTGAAGTTATGGGTTAATGAAACCTGGTCATTCTAATTGAGTATAACTGTAGAAGATTTACAGAAGGTCTAAAATGTTCCCAAGAAATTAACGTTGGTGCCCAAAGAGCAGTTTTAATGGAATACGGAGTAGTGGTTTAAAATCTCTGCTCAGTCTAAGTAAAGCAGTCAGAGGAAAATGCTCAAAGCAGATAGGCATCATCTAATCCACTAAAGTAGTACCTTTAAAACCACTATAAACCTCTGTCCTCACTGATTGGGTTGCGATGAGGGTTTTAACAAAAAAGAAAGCAGGGTGGAAAAAATTGCAGTGCTGGAAAGTCGCAGAATGCACTTGGGCTATTAAAGTGAAGTTAAAAGTTCACCATATGGGTCCAAGTCGTCTCTTGTGTTAATAATTGAGGACTGACTGCGTTGCTTAGTTGACTCTTTACCTAGACCACATACACTCAATGCTCGAAGATATTAAAAATCAACGCTTAACTATTGGGGTCATCTTCAAATTCGCTCCTGTAGAAATTTGAATACTCCAATTGCCAATTTAACCAATGCCGTGATTCAAGTGATGATGCGATAGAAAGGAAGCCAGCATAAATCATTGACTGTGCGCATACAGGTTCAATCACTGTGCCTCCGATATCTAACTTTATGTTTCTATATGCTTACCATTTAAGCACCATCATTTCCTTAATCATATCAGGATCTCTATATCCCAAATGTTCAATTACGTTTATTATTACTACTGTGCCAGATTTTTTTTATTCCTGGATGCCGTTGTGCTGGATTGATTCACTTTCCTTTTTGCTTTCTCACTGAGGAGACATCCCAATAATTCTATTTTTTGAGAGACCATCAAAATCCTCCACTGCACCTTGTCACGCAAGTCCTTAGGTCATCGGTCAACGGGAGCCCGACATTCCAATCAATTTGTTTCCCTTGGAACACGTTGTGGCAATCTTCTAGATGTGGAAGGAGGAAACCAAAGACTTCAAAGTTCTAACAGTATAAGTTGGAATTTCTAGCCACAAGATAGGGTTCGACTTCAACACTCAGTGGCCTACATAAACCAGACATTCTTCATGAATTCAATACATAGGAAGACAAACTGAGCTTCTCCTTTTCTTTCTCTTCCTCTTCATTCCATCTCGAACATCATCATTTTCTTCTCTGCTAAATTCAGTCATCCAATTCATCTTGAAAAGCTTCATAATATTATTGTTCTCCACTTACCAACACCATCACCTCCTCTTTAGTCTCTTGATTGCAAGGAATGTACATGGATGATAAAGAGGGTCAGGTGCACATATTCTTCCTCCCCTTCATGGCACATGGCCACATGATACCAACCATAGACATGGCAAAGCTATTTGCTTCTCAAGGAGTGAAAGCAACCATAGTCACCACTCCTGTCAATGCACCACTTGTCTCCAAATCAATCCAGAGATCAAAAAATTTGGGTTTTGAAATTAATATCAAAACCATCAAATTTCCTGCTGTTGAGGTTGGATTGCCAGAAGGATGCGAAAACGCAGACTCGATCACTTCTCATGAGATGCAAGGGGAAATGACGAAAAGATTTTTCATGGCAACATCCATGCTCCAAGAACCACTTGAGAAGCTATTGCAAGAATGTCACCCTAATTGCCTTATCGCCGATATGTTCCTTCCTTGGACCACTGATGCTGCAGCAAAATTTGGAATTCCAAGGCTTGTGTTTCATGGTATCAGTTGCTTTTCTTTGTGCACTTCAGATTGTTTGAGGAGATATGAGCCGTACAAGAAAGTTTCTTCTGATTCTGAACTGTTTGTGGTGCCTGAGCTTCCTGGTGACATAAAGTTCACAAGGCAGCAACTGCCAGATTTTATGAAACAAAACGTTGAGACTGATTTTACTAGGTTAATTCAAAAGGTTAGAGAATCATCATGGAAGAGTTATGGGATTGTCATCAATAGTTTCTATGAGCTCGAGTCTGCTTATGCTGATTTTTTCAAGGAGCTAGGAAGGAAGGCATGGCACATAGGCCCAGTTTCGTTGTGCAATAGAGAATTTGAAGATAAAGCACAGAGAGGAAAGGAAGCTTCAATTGATGAACAAGAGTGTTTGAAATGGCTCGACTCAAAGAAACCCAATTCAGTTGTTTATATTTGCTTTGGAACTGTAGCCAATTTCAGCGATTCTCAGCTAAAGGAGATTGCCTTAGCTCTTGAAGCTTCAGGGCAGCAGTTTATTTGGGTTGTCAGGAAATACAAGAAAGCTAAAGATGAAGAAGAATGGTTGCCTGAAGGATTTGAGAAAAGAATGGAAAGCAAGGGACTGATTATAAGAGGATGGGCACCACAAGTAGTCATTCTTGATCATGAAGCAATAGGAGGATTTATGACTCATTGTGGGTGGAATTCGACCATCGAAGGCATAGCTGCAGGGAAGCCAATGGTAACCTGGCCAGTTTCTGCAGAACAATTCTTTAATGAGAAGCTGGTGACTGAAGTGCTAAAAATTGGTGTGGCTGTTGGTGTTCAACAATGGGTTACAGTATATGGAGATAGCATCAAGAGTGAAGCTATAGAAAAGGCGGTAACTCGAATCATGATAGGTGAAGAAGCAGAGGAAATGAGAAGAAGAGTTAAGGCCCTAGGAGGAATGGCAAAGAGGGCTATTGAAGAAGATGGTTCCGCTTACTCTGATTTGAAAGCTCTAATTGAAGAATTAAGAGGCAGGCGCCACTGAAACCAGCAAGCAGTAAGACAAGAACATTAATGTGCAATTTGAATGCGTTTAATTAATATCTGCTGTCCTTCTGTGCCAATGTCATGACAAGTGATTGTGTTAGCCAGAAGAAACCATCTTCGGCACCATCTAATAGACTATAAAAGACAAGAACATTATCCGTCATATTTTATACAATAATATATTTTATATTCAATATGTGTCAAAATATGACACATAATATTTATTGTATTCAATATTTAATTTTTTTTTGAATACAAGATATATTTTTGCATAATATATGACACGTAATATTATTTCTTTTCATAGCCCATATAAAATAATGAGAAAGTTGGTACCTCAATGTAAGGATCCGCATGTCTATTTATATTGTATATTTTACAGAATCTATACAATATACAATCTTTGTTTTAAAAACGGAAAATATTAAGTATTGAAAGACTAGATTTTATATTTAGTACTCAACATTTTGTTTTGAATATAAAATATATTATTACATTATATATGGCCTATAATATATTACGTATTCAATACATGGCAAGCATTGAAAGAATATATTACCCCTTTTGAGCATGAGACTCAAGAATGCACAAATTGGCACGAATGGGATATGTGAAAGGAGGTAATTCTTTTGGTGAAAATATCTTCAAGTTGATCACTATTAGAAAGAAATTTGACAGTAATATCACTTTATGAAACACGCTCACAGACAAAATGCAAATCAATTTCCAAATATTTACTACGTACATGATTAACTGGCTTAACAGTAAGATAGGCAGTAGAGATATTATCACAAAAGACCTCAAGAGGTAACTGAGGTGAAGATAAAGATCATGAAGAAGAAATCAAAACCAACATAATTCAGCAACAACGACAACAGCAAGTGCATGATACGCCGGTTCAATACTATTTCGAAAAACATTGTTGCTTCTTAACCATACAAGATACCAAATTATGACAAAAAAAAAAAAACACACACACACACACACACAAAATCTTATGATGGATCTCCTAGTGTCGGGACATTTGGTCCAATCTGCATCACTAAAAGCCACGAATGAAGAAGTATCAGTTTTATATAATTAAAAACCATAACAAATAATGCTCTTAAGCTGGCGTAAGATTTTCTAAACAGAATGCCAACGAATATCACGAAGATCATGTATATACTTACAATATTAACGATTTAAGTAATATCAGGATGAGTAAATGTAAAATATTGGAAATAAAGAGTTTGTATTTCAGTAGGAATGTTTTTCTATAATAAAAAGTTATAGATTTAAATCTTAATAGACTAATTTGATTAAAAATCTTGAACGTATGCATTAAAAATATATATATAAAATATTATATTACTTATAATAATGCTCCTAATAGATCCTTTTGGCAACCTTCTCAGTCACATGCACCTTCTACTTTGGGTGAAAGGCCAATCCAATGTCAGTCATGTGATGAATATAATCCTACATCTCGTAATTGTCGTCCTTCCCATCTCGTAATTGTATTACTTGACGTTATTATTCTACATCAAATGATTTGCCAACATCTTTTGTTGGTGCATATTTATAAGAAGCATCACCACCTATATAGAATAGAACCCTTATCCGGGAGCTTCGCATGATATGGCCAAGTGCGTGTGCACTGGATAAGCTGGGCTTGTGATCAGAAAGAACCAAAAATTTCTTCAAATTAATATAAAAAATTTGTGCCAAACCGTTATTATTGTGTATTCTCTCGAATAAATTTTTTTTTTCGAGAAACAAATTAACTAATCATTTCAGTTTTACAAATTAATTATTTGGTCTTTTTAACTAGTATTATTCATGATTAATTTAATATTTTTTATTTTATAAAATATCTTCTTTTCTTATCTTTCTTTTTTTATATATATATTTTTCTTATTTATTATTCTCTTTCTATTTTTTTTTAATAAAAAATTAAAAATAATTAAAAAGATTAAATATTTAGTTTTAAAACCAGAATAATTAATTACTTCGTTTCTTGAAGCAAGGGAGGCTAATTTATAATTTACACGTATTCTCTTTTTCATGTATAGTTTTTGGAATATCCGGTAGGAATTTTAAGCGTACAAAGCCAAATAATTTGTCTCTGATTTGGAAACACTTGTGAACTTTACCAAATAATTTGTGTATGTAAGTAGACGGTAGCATGGAAGGAAATGCACAAAGCAAGTTTGTAGGGAAACTCAGAATTTAAATATGAGAAGGAAAAGACATTTGTGTATATTTCCAAACATGATGTGCCTTGTGGATGTAGATTGTAGAATCAAAAAATCTACTACCACAACAACTACTACAGACTTTTAGAACATCTGTTTACTCGCCACTTTTTGATAGGATATCGCCCCCTTTGAGTAAGATTTATTTTGTTTCATTATCAAGTTTTCAGTGTAAATATAGTTAAAAGCATGATGTCTGGATTCTTTGGTCCCCTTTACATCAATTATAATAGATGTCACTCATTAATTTTCAAAGGGAGATGATGTACATTGTGATTACGATATTGAGACTAGGGACTTTTTCTGTTTTTGTTATGATACATGAAAAAGATGGGCTAATGAACATCATGTCTGATTTGTAATATGAGGAATTTGTAAGATTTTCAATCTGAAACAGCAGATTGAACAGTTAAATGGATCGATCAAATGACTACGATGCATATTAAAGATTCCTGCGCACAATCTGAAGTATTTTTCAGCATCTGCTATAGTGCACTATTAAAAGTAATAATTGATGCCTACCAGTTTAGACTTAAAACCGTACAGAGAACCAAAAATTTGGGTTTTGATATCCATATCGAAGTCCTCAAATTCCCTGCTACGGAAAGTGGATTGCCAGAAGGATGTGAAAACTTTGATCTGATTTTTTCTCAAAATCTGGGTTGGGAAATGGCGTGAAATTCTTCCTGGCAACACCCTTGCTCCATGAACCCTTTGAGAAGCTACTAAAAGAATGCCAACCTGCAGACTGCCTTGTTGCCGATTCGTTCTTCCCTTGGACTAACGATGCTGCCGCCAAATTTGGAATCCCAACTCCCAAGGTTAGTGTTTCATGGAACTAGTTTCTTTTCTTCATGCATTGCAGTATGTTTGAGACTGTATGAGTCACACAAGAAAGTTTCATTGGATTCTGAATTCTTCGTGGTGCCTAACCTTCCTGGCGACATCAAGTTGACAAGAAACAAATTGCCTGGATCCGCAAAACGAGCTGATGAAAGTGATTTGAAAAGGATGTTCGTAAATATTGAAGAGGCAAATTTGAGGAGTTTTGGGGTGGTTGTTAACAGTTTCTACGAACTAGAACCAGTTTATGCTGATCATTACAGGAAATTGTTAGGACGAAAGGCATGGCATGTAGGCCCAGTTTCGCTATGCAATAGAGACATAGATGATAAAGCAAAGAGGGGAAGAGAAGCCTCTATTAATCAACATGAGTGTTTGGATTGGATTAATTCAAAGAAATCCAATTCCGTTGTTTATATATGCTTTGGAAGTATGACAAACTTCAATTCTTCTCAAGCGAAGAAGATTGCTGAAGCTTCCCGTCAACAATTTACCTGGGTTGTCAGGAAAACAAGAAACAATCAAGAAGAGGAAGATTGGTTACCCGAAGGATTTGAGAAGAGAATGGAAGGTAAAGGACTAATTACAAGTGGATGGGCACCACAAGTGTTGGTTCTTGACTGACTCATTGTGGATAGAATTCAACACTTGAAGGCATTATTGCTGGGCTGCCAATGATAACATGTCCCTAGCTGCAGAGCAATTCTATAATGAAAAGTCGGTAACAGAGATATTGAAAATTGGTATAAGCATTGGTGTTCAAGAGCAAGCCACTTAATTTGGTGGGTCTAGCATTAAGAGTGAAGCCATAGAGAAAGCAGCAACTCAACTTATGGAAAGCGAAGAGGCAGTGGAAACGAGGAAGAAAGCAAAGGCATTTGGGGAGATTGCAAGGAAAGCCGTTGAAGAAGGTGGATCCTCAGCCTCCGATTTGAATGCCTTGATAGAGGAACTGAGGTGGCGTCAAGAAAGCCAAAAGAGAGAGTAAGAGGGTGTGGGAGACATCATAACGTACAGTTACACATTTCATTTGTGTGTTTTCTTTGTAAGTTTATGCAAGGCAGTCTATTTCTTCTTCCTCTTTCGGTTTGCACCCTTGTAAGTTTATGTATGGCGACTAGTGCGGAACTGACCCAATAAAAATAATTACATTTAAACTGATTTTGTTTGGAGGAAAATAAGTTTCATGAAAAAATAAATTCCTAAGGAAGTTATTTTTCAAGAAATTATTTTTCAAAAATATATTTTTTGTCGTTTGATAATTACATGACAAACTGCTGAAAAATATATTTCAACGTTTGTTTGATACGAGAAAATTAAAATACAAAAACACATATAATTGTTACTTTAACAAGTTTTGAGAAAACTTAAAAAAAAACATATTCATAATTTCACAATATAAGATACATTTAGAAAAATTTAATAAATTTTCATAAATACTAACTCTAAAATTTTAATTCAAAAAATAAAATGTACTTTTTTAATCATCAAACCAATTCATCAAAATTACTTGAGACAAAATCAAGTTAATATTCACATTTAGTAAAAAAAAGATTCTAAGTAATCCTAGCATTGTTATTTTGATGACTCAATTAAGAATTTTTTTTAAAAAAGAAATTGAACTCATAATTTAGTCTCGAAAATAATTTTTAAATTATCGGTTATTATTTTTAGATAATTATTCATTTGGTCTCAAAAGATTAATTTTGGAATAATTTGTAACTAATTATTCACTACAATTACCAACAAAATTTTACAATTGATTAACATTATAAATTATTGATTTAATTGCAAATGCATAGTGTTGAAAAAATAATGTATTTATTGATGAATTAATTAATTTCAATTTTTTTACAAAAAATTATAGTCTTGTAATGATCATTTTCAATCATTTAAGTATAGTTTAGGTGATGTTTGAGATAATAGTAAAAAAATAAAGATAAACTATTGAAATATTTATTATAAGAATAATTTTAAGGTGTAAAAATGATTTTTAAGAATATTTAATATATCTATAAATCAAAAAATCAAATATTAGTAAAAATAGAGAAAAAAATAATTAAATAATTAATAATAATTGATAAAGAATAATTAAAAACTAATTTGATATATTTAAAATAAAAAAAAAGATAGAGAAAAAAGTTGTTAAAATATATTGAGAGATAGATAAGTAACGCAATAACAAGATAACTCGTGATAAAAAAAAAAAAAAGTTTTCCTTTTTTGAAACTGAAAAAATATTTTTTAAAAAATATTCTATCATTTTGTCGTTGATTGAAAATTATTTTTTGTAGACTATTTTTCTAAATACAAAACAAACGTTAAAAAAAAAAAAAAAAAAAAAAAAAAAAAAAACACTCTTAAGAGAAATGATTCTACCTTAAAGTGGATTTGCTGGTAAGGGAGTGTGCTGCTGCTTACCTCTTGTACTTGGTTGTCATGGTTCACATCTCCGACTATGCTGTGAAGTTGTAAAGAGTCAAAAAAATTTCTGGTGTTTCGTGCATCATTATTATTATTATTTGGATACGAGAAGAGGTAAAGCTCTAGATAAAGATTTCGCAATCTATTCTCTATAAATAATTACTAATAAACTAAAAGATCTGGGATTTTTTTATAATTTTGTTTTGGTCCTATTCTCTAGAGGTAAAACAACACTGTTTATCTCTCAAAATATACTGTTCACTTTTTTTTTATAATTTTTTTTGGTCTTTTAAATTTTAATCCATAATCGATGCACTACCTGTTTTTTTTTGTTTTTTTGTTTTTTTATCAATTTATGTTCTTTTTTTATTTAATTGGATGTTACCATCATAATGTACTATTCACTCTTGGGTATTTTTTTTGTAATTTTTAAATTATTTCATTTTTGTCTCTAAAATTTTAAAATTAAAATTTTAATCCCTAGCTCATGCACTATATGCCTTTTTTTTTTCCTTTGGTTTTTTTTCCTTCGCTTTTTTCATAAATTTATGTTCTTTTTTTTATTTAATTAGGTGTAAAATTTTTAAAAATTAATTGTTACTTTTTTCTACACAAACCGACGATTATATATATATAATTAACATTTACTTCAGACTTATATTACTTTTATTATTTAAATTTCATTCTTTAAATTTATTAATTTTTTTATGAAAATTCTCATCCAATTAATATTTTTATATATAATTTTATTTATTGATAAATATAATTTATTTTACTCTATGTTTGAATTTTAGAATAAAATCTTAAAACATGAATTTTTTTTCTTTTTTTAAAAAATAAATTGATATAATCTATATCATGAATTCTTAGAATTTTTAAAAATTTTATGAAAACACAAAAAATAGTAATAATTAAATAAAAAATTAATGAAAAAATTATAAAATTTTGAAATGATTTTGTTCTATCTAACTATAGCATTGCGTAAATAATTTAAAAAATTAATCTTCTCATCAACATTAAATAAGAAATTTTTTTTTATTTGTTAATTTTTAAAAAAGTCTATCCATTAATTATAATTTTATTTTTTATAATACAATATTATAAAAAATATATTAAAATTTTTTTAATTCTTGATTAATATTTTAATTAAAATCAATTCGTAAAGAAGAATGATTTATATTTTTTTAAAAAGAATTATAAAAAATATTAAAAAATTAATTAAATAAAAATTATAATTAAAAAAATTTTTAAAAATTTTATTCAACGGCTTTAATAAATAAGTGTACTCTAAAAGGACTATCTCCAAGAGATCCGAATAGAATAAATAATCCTTATTTTAAACAAGTAAATGTACGTTGCGGGAGAATTCACGCATTTATTAGCAGATGCACCTGTCAAGGACAATGCAAAAATTTACATGTATAGTTGTCCTTTCGTTTCAAAAGCATACTAATAAATGTCAATTAGACCAAAGGAAATAAGTACAAAACAAAAGACTTCAAAGGGGGAAAAAAAAAGAAAAGAAAAGGGAGTGTCGTGACTCGTGAGAGCCCGCGAGCACGATACAGTAAATCCCAACTAGAAATGGGTTTGTGTGACGAGCCCGATTCTTTTGGGAGGACGGCGTGATTAATCTTCGGGTAAATTCCTTGTATTATCCATCAAGTTCTGGAAATTGGTGGTATTAACCCTTATAATTTAACTTACTCCAATTTGTTTTTCATACATAAGTACTCTAGCATTCAGTTTTTAATGACACGTGCTTCCTTCGTACAACACGTGTTCACTAGATGTATGTCACGTGTTGTCACATGCATACGCCTGGATGGATGAAAAGATCACAAGTGACTACAATTAATAAGTTTAAGAGTTGACATATTCAAAGTTAAAACATAGAGGCTGATTTAATCCAAATTTGACAATTATTATAATAAGGATGTATATAAACATGGAAAGGAGTTTGTGAACAGAAAAAAATAGATGATTTGTGATAAAGTATGGGATCAAAAGTAAAGTTCAAGATTTTTCAATGTTTACTTGTACGATCAACAAAAATTAAAATCTACTTTTTTCTATATATGAAGATCAAAACCATATATTTTAAAATCAGAAGTCATTGCATCCATAAAAAATGATTGAAATCCATAATAATCACTTTACCTTAACAAAAATAGTATGCTTGTCTCATAATTTTATATATAAAAAAAAACCCATGAAATTACATTCAAAATCATTAAAACCATTCAAACTTGAATATATATAAAGTGTCAAAAATATCAGTTTGAAGTTAATTTTTATTTAGTTATTTTGTATCTGTAAAATATATATACTTAAATAATTAATTTTTTCTTAAAAACTAATTATTAGTTTTTTTTTAATTTTATGTTCTTTTCTAATTTATTTTTTATTTAAAAAATAAAAAATAGAAATTATAAAAAGATTGATGCTAAAATAAAATTACTTTTTTGAATAAAATAATATCAAATTAAATGTCATCGATAATGATTAAAATATTAAATAATTAATTTTTGAAACAAAAAAAAGTAATTAATTGTTTCTAAAAATTAAAAGTACTAATTTATAATTCACTCAATGTTTGAGCTGATTCCGATTGTATTTGAAATAAATAAATAAATAAAAGAAAAAGAAATTCACGGCGTCGAAAACTTTAGTGTATGACTCTTTCGTCCTTTCCCTAAGTCGTGACGTAAGAGAGTACGCTCAAACAAGCCTCCACAACTTGAACTTCGTGCTCATGTACAATATGCTAACATGTACAGGCGCAATATGGATTGTTAATAGATTTATTGATTTTGTAGTAAATTCAAGGCTTACTAATTTAAGTACAAACATCAAATATATCACCAAATTATTGATGTATTATTAATTTTACATTTAAATTTTTTTAATTTTTTAATCTAAGGTTTTTTTTTATCGAAATCAATTAAAAAAATTAAATTTCATACAAAACAACAGTATAATTTGGACGGATTTTTTTTTTTTAAAAAAATAGATGAATCTTGTTCTTAATTATTTGTTGGTTTTCTGTCTCCTAAACCAAAAGGTTGTAAAATAATTAATGAAAAAGCATAACATGGAGGAAGATAGAGATGCAAATGGAATTTACTAATTTAATTGATTTTATCTGAAAAATTGGATTTTGATTTACTCAAATCACGACAATACAAACAATTGATTAAAAAAATAAAAACCCGAAGATTAAGTTGCCATTGTATATTATTAACAAAAAGATGATAGAGTGGATCTAATTAGCCACTCAATATTTGATAACTGACATTCTGAAATAAACAAAAATTAATTATCAAATTTTTTTCAAATGAGAAAAAGAAAAAAGAAAAAACTAAAAAAATTAAAATAAGTGGAAATATTTTTATCATCTTTGATATATTTTCTCTTTTTTTATATGTCTCTTTCCTAAAATAAATATTAATAGTTACTCTTTTAAGTATTTTAAAATTTCTCATATGATATGGATCTAAATTTATGTATGCAAGTATATAGATTGAATTGTGTACAGGATTTCTATTACAGAAAAGTTGAAACATTCCAATTTGTTTTAATTTTTAACAATAAGGATGTTTCCTTGTATGTTCAGATACGTTCTTAATTTGTCAGTGCAATTTAAGGTAACGTATTCAAACTTCCTTTTACTATCTTCTAGAGTCGGCACTTTGTGACAGGAGCAATGACGAGAGTGTAGTATGCTAGCATGGGCTGGAAATTTCTTATCTCGAGAAAAAAAATCTGATTAAACTAAATCTCTCATCCCTAAACCTCTCTGTTTATAAATACCAATCCATGTCCAATATATTAGTCATTCAAGCGTAGAATAACAAAATCAATCTAAACTTTTCTTCCTCTTCATCATCAGTCGATAAATCTTTCGCTGACAAATTTAGTTCCATTTTTAACCCCAATTTCTTTTCTTCCTCTTCATCATCAATTGATCAACTTTCGCTGACAAATTTAGTTCCATTTTCAACCCCAATTTCTTTTTTATCTAACAAGGCCAGATGGGTAGTTTGGATCCCCAAGTGCACATTTTCTTCTTCCCTTTCATGGCTCATGGCCACATGATACCAACTGTGGACATGGCCAAGCTTTTTGCTTCTCGAGGCTTAAAGACAACCATCATCACCACTCCTCTCAACGCACCTTTCTTCTCCAAAACAATCCAAAAAACCAAAGATTTGGGTTTTGATATTAATATCCAAACCATCAAATTCCCAGCGGCAGAGGCTGGATTGCCTGACGGATGTGAAAATACAGATGCATTCATTGCAAATGACAATGCTGGGGAAATGACCAAAAAGTTTTTCGTGGCCACAACCTTACTTCAAGAACCATTTGAGAAGCTACTACAAGAATATCATCCTGATTGCATTGTTGCTGATATGTTCTTTCCTTGGGCTACTGACGCTGCTGCCAAATTTGGAATTCCGAGGCTAGTGTTTCACGGCACTAGTAACTTTGCTTTAACTGCAGGAGAATGTGTGAGACTTTATGAGCCACATAAGAAAGTTTCATCAGATTCTGAACCTTTTGTTGTTCCTAATCTTCCTGGAGATATAAAGTTGACAAAGAAGCAACTGCCAGATTTTGTAACGGAAAATGTTGAAAATGACTTTACCAAGTTAGTGAAAGCATCCAAAGAAGCAGAAATGAGGAGCTTTGGTGTTATTGTCAACAGCTTTTATGAGCTTGAGCCAGCTTATGCCGATTATTACAAGAATGTTTTGGGCAGAAGGGCTTGGAATGTAGGCCCGGTTTCTTTATGCAATAGAGACGTCGAAGATAAAGTAGGAAGAGGAAAAGAAGCCTCAATTGATCAACATGAGTGTTTGAAGTGGCTTGACTCAAAGAAATCCAATTCGGTTGTTTATATTTGCTTTGGAAGTATAGCAAACTTCACTGCCTCTCAGCTGAAGGAGATTGCAACAGGCCTTGAAGCTTCTGGGCAGCAATTTGTCTGGGTTGTTAGAAGAAACAGAAAGAGTGAAGAAGATAAGGAAGATTGGTTACCTGAAGGATTTGAGGAACGAATGGAAGGCAAGGGACTGATAATAAGAGGGTGGGCGCCCCAAGTGTTGATTCTTGATCATGAAGCAATAGGAGCATTTGTGACTCATTGTGGATGGAACTCAACTCTTGAAGGCGTAACTGCGGGGAAGCCAATGGTTACATGGCCAGTATTTGCTGAGCAGTTCTATAATGAAAAGCTGGTGACTGATGTTCTAAAAACTGGAGTTGGCGTTGGAGTTAAGGCATGGGTTAGACTCCATGGAGATCATGTTACAAGTGAAGCTGTAGAGAAGGCAATCACTCAAATTATGGTGGGTGAAGAAGCAGAGGAAATGAGGAGCAGAGCAAAGAAGCTAGGAGAAATGGCAAGGAAGGCTGTTGAAGAAGGTGGATCTTCTTACTCTGATTTCAATGCTTTGATTGAAGAGCTGAGGTTGCATCGCCCTTGAAACAAGGCAGACAAAATGATCGCTGTCGAGAAATATGCATAGAATGTTCTATTTCTGATTTGTAGTGGTTTTTGACAATTTACAGTGTACCATTTCCTTTATATATGTAAATTCCGATTGCAATTTGAAAAATTGATGACGTCTTCTCGGAAAAATAAAAGAATCAAATTACAAATTAACATCCTGGCTGGAGTTGCGATTTTTATTTTCTTTTATTATTATTGTCACGTTTTAAGAAATGCAAATGCAGGTGGTATTTTATTTTATTTTTATTATGTAAGTTTGGAGAGAGTATACACATTCAAATCAATGACTCGATCGCATCCAGTCGCTCTCAACTCTCTCAAGTGCCCCCTCCACATTGCCAATTCAAATTCGTTTCATTCCCAATTGTCCACGAATGTTAAGTCCAGCTTATATTTAGCCCAAATAATTAATCAAATGTAGGCCCATTTGAGGCCGGCCTAAACCTGCAGCCCAAACCGGCTCATTGTCAGTTTACAGTAGGACGTAAGAGTTAGGCCTTAAGAGTAGAGAACCTAGTGATCTTTTTTTTTTTTATGAATCAATTAATTATTCGATTTCTTTTTCTTCCAATAACAATCATTTCATTTTTTTTTAAATTATAGGTTAAAAAAATGAATTATTTTTTTTATAAGTGGGAGTAACCAAAAGATGTTTTCTTCTACTGACTTAATTTGGCACGAAAAATGTCTTTCGATGGCAAAGAAAGAAAACGTGAATCAATCGATTGCCTCAAAAATGGTTCAAATGGACTTGCTTAGAGGCTTGGTCCAATAGATTGTAAAATCTCCATCATATTCATCAGCGAGTCACGTTAAGTGGATTGGTAAAAATTTTTGTTTTTTTAGCAAAAAAGATGTCCTTGTCTAAGAAACTTCATAGGTCATGATTATGTGGGCAAAAGGATCCACTTTGACTGAACAGGCAAAGAGGGCCTTGGCTCTTCTGACTTCAGATAACCAATCCAATTGTCGACTGTGCTAACTCAAATACACATTCAGGGGGTAGACATTAATTTCTCAATACTAGTGGTTCAAACTAAATTCCAGTCCACCAAATATGGATTCAAAAGCCCAAATTCTAACCAAAACATGCATACTCATTTCATGGAACATTATTACATATACCACACCTAAAATTTTCTAAGCCCAAGAATTTCTGAACTGAAAGGTCCAACAAACGTCGATGGAACCTTGGCTTACAATACAATCATGCAAAAGGAGAACCTGTATAATTTGATTTTAATTTCCTTCCTATCAAACATAAAGTCAGATGCAAAACAGACCGAAGTTAATAATCCCGTTAGTCAGAAGCACGACAATGACTAGGAGAAAAATCTTAACACACTCGTTCATCACAAATTCATCTCTCACATATGAACTTTTCAACCAAGAAAAAGGAAAATTCTTGCACGTATGAGTCAAGTTAAAGAAAGACAAGCAACCTCAATGAAGATAAGATCAAGACAAGAAAATTCAACAATCAAGACCTTTCTTCTGTTGCGATAAGTCTTTGACGAGAAAAGTGTTGGAAAAAAAAAAAAAAAAAAAAACAACAACAAACAAACAAACAGAGAGAGCAATAATTAGACCTGACAAGTAAAAATATATCTGTTTTCTTTGATCACCATGGACTAGCTAATGCAAGTGCCTTCTCATTTATCTAAACTATTTGTTTCAATATGTCGTACTCTTTACTCTTCTTTATTCAAAACATTATTATTATTATTTTCTCATGGGTGGTCTTTATGCCTAACTGAGCATAGAACAGCTCTTGAAAAATTGGAAAAGAGCTAGGATAATTATGAAAGTTCCCTAACAAAAAATATTTTCTAGTTTTTCTTCTGAAATAAAACATTAGTACGTTAAATCGATAGCCTGTCTGGACAACAATACGGTGGGATCCTTGAAAATTTACAACTGTTGAGGGGAAAAAAAACACAACTTGTTGTCGTATTAAATTGATTTGCATCCACGTCTGGAATCAATCATATATGAAACCTGAAGGATTTTTAAATTAATCTCTCAATCATTTTTTTTTTTTTTGGACAAAATCTCTCGATCACTAAACAATGAGAAAAGCATATTGAAAATGGATACATGTCGACCGTACCCTTGCCATGTTCCCATATTATTATTGTTATAATGAATTTTGCAAGATATGGCAACCTAAATGTGGTCCAACCATTTTCAATACTTTAATATTTGTTATACTTAAGGTGATCCATTTTATTATTGTAGTTGTTTTTTATATTATAATTAGTAGAATATTTTCCAACCAATCTATTATTTTTTAGATTAAATTAGTATCAGATTATATCTAATTTTAAATTAATTATTGATATTCTCAAATTTTTTCAATCAATCAATAATTCATATTAAGTGTCATGCATAATAATAATAATAATAATCTTTTTAAAAATTAAAATCAAACTTTTAATCTAATAAGTTGGATATATTTTTTATATCGCTTCATCTACAAACTAACTTTGATGGCATATTTTTAATTCTAATTAACTCAACTTATTATCAAAAATAGTGGTACATGATAATAATGGTGTTAAAAAAAATTATTATAATTTTACAATGATAGTGTTTTTTTAGAATGATACAATAGAGGAAAGAAAAAGATGAATAATTTATAATAAGAGTATTATATCATTTAATTTTTTTAATTTTTTAAAATTTTTTATTTTTTAAAATAATATCCATCATGGTGATGTCGTGAAGCATTTTCGTATTATCAAGGGAATACCTTTATTAATAGACAAACAACATAGGGTTTGAGGAAAGCATGTTTTGATTAAGCAAAAAGAGGAGACAATTGTTGCTAACTACCAACTTTTATTAAAAGCTGCGTCACAATGGGCCGGCACTTCGGCCTTTTAAATTTTTAACCTGCGAGCGTGGTTTTGATTACTGATGTAAAGTGATTTTCCCTCTATTTATTTATTGGGAAAGTAGATTTTATAATCATAACTCATGCCACCAGCCCCTAGGTGGATTACACACCGTTGCCAACTATCTTTTCTATTTTAATTTATAGAGAAAATACTCAATATTAAGAAGCCATTTGTAATTAGTTGAGGTATCGACAAGCAAAGTTGGAATTTTTTATTGAATTCGTTTAATATTTGACACTATGTTTTTAAGCAAAGCTGAAAGAATATTTATATTAATTCCCTCTTTTCCTGCTCGAGCTTGGTTTGATAGCCAGTAATTTCATCCCAAATGGAACGTTAGTTATCTCAAAAAAATTGAACCAAACCCAGTTAGAACTTGAAATCTAGAGACGCAAAACATATGCCCCTTTAGGTCACTTTATTAAAGTACTTTTCTTGTTTTTATCTAAAGAGTTGGTTAAATAGAGTCAAAGACTTGAATTTGCATCTCTCAATTCCAACGAAAGTTACCTGTTTAGAGTTGAAACAAGAAATAGAAAGATACAAAGAGTAACGAAACGAATTTCACATTTTCAATCTCTCTTGTGTCATCCTCGATAGAGACATTTAAACTTTGAAAAAACCGTGCACGCGTAATATTTTACTGTCTCTTCAAAGAAAAGCACAGACAAATCAGACTCCTCCTCGTTTATGATTTCAAAAAAAACCTACTTTGTTTTGGTCAGTGTGTGTATTATTTCTCAGGTTGTTATAGAGTCGTTGACGAGGTAACGACCTCAACTGAATAACACCGGCAATTACGGAGTCCATGCCTTCTTATCATTCCCTTCAAGATTTTCGCGCTTTCAATGATGTAGACCGAATTATGTGGTTTTTTTTTTCCCTTCTTTCTGGAGTTTTGGCCTCTGCGTTTTTTTTTTTTTTGATAAGCTCAAATTTGTCCTCAAACCTACCCAACATTTCTCTATTATGTCTCAAACCTATTTTTTACTTGATTGGATCACTAATGTATCAGAATTTCTCAATTGATCAGTTTTTATAGTGTAAAATCATCATAAATTTTTAATAGAAAAAAATTCAAAAAAAATAAAATATTAACAAATATAACGGAGATCTAATTAAGGATTTCTCATAGATTAAAGACCTGATTAAGGAAAAAAATCCAAAGATTCAATTGATAATGGATGAGTAAAATAAGAGTTTATAAGATATTACAACCGGAAAAAAAAATTATATGAGGCTACCGTATTTTCAATACAAAGAAGTTATCTTTGTTTTCTAATCGAATAAAAAACAAAAATAAAAGTAGAACATATATCATCAAATTAACTAAAAAACTAAAAGAGTTGTGGTGAAGCCGTTCATTGCCTGTTCACCCCACCCCATGTGACAATACCCTCTCATTCTCACCTTAATTTCTTTGTTGCCATTGGATGTTGGTGTGAGGTTACGGATTTGCCCTCGCTTTTGGCTTTCCTTCCGCTTCTATGGTGCCCCTTTTCGTCATTGGATAATGGATTTAGTGTAGCATTTAATGCTTTTATTTTTGTTTACTTGATGAAAGAGGATTGGGGAAGAAATATTTACTTGATGGCTTTTTTATAATTTTAAAAAAGTGATATTTTTATTATTTTAAATGTTTTTTCAGATATTTATTTCATTCATGATACTATTCACATACTTTTTATTTTTTATTTTTTATAATTCTGATGTTTTTTTTCAACCATTTTATATGTAAAGTTTTGCTTATATTATTCTTTCATCCTTCATTGTTTTAGTAATTTTTATCTGAATCTATAACTTTATTTATATTATAATTTAGTCCCTAGCTACTAAGAGAAAAGAGAAATAAAGAGAACAGAGGGAGGAGAGAGAGATTTGTGTTTGGATTTTTTTAATTAATTTTTAGAATATTGTTATTTGCTCTTAAAAAATTCATATAATTTATATGAAAAATTCATTTAATTTTTAAATAGTATAGCATTGTTAAATATATATAATGAATTTTTAGAATATAATTTTTTTCTCTTAAATTTTTTTGTTATAATTTATATAACTAATTATTTAAATTTTT